CACCGGCAAGCGATGGGTCCTAGCCGGGCACCAGCACCACACTGCCCTGTTGGCATGGTGCTTACCTGGTGGCCCTTGGAGTAGGACAGCCCTTTGGGCCCACCTGATCACGTCCCCCTCTTACTGTGGTCCAGAAGCAGCAAAGCCCCGAGCTGTCTGCACGGACCTTAACCACACACCTGTCTCCCTGCGTCCGTGGATTCTACCTCCTGTGGATCAGAAATTCACGGAAAATCTGCATCTGTGCTAACATGTGCAGGCTCTCCTCCTTGTCATAGTCCCTAACAATACGGCTTCACAGTACCCACCTGTCATTTTTGTGACCTTAGGCATGATACGTGACCTGGGGATGGTGTAGGTTCTAGGCAAAGACGATGCCACTTTACACAAGTGGGTGGAGGTCTACAGACCTGGGTGTCCTAGGAGGGGTGCCACAAAAGTCCCCGCGGATACCAAGGAGCCCGCTCTGGTTGTGGGTGCGACCTCGTTTGGAACCAGAGTCTCATTCTGTCTCCTTCCAGAGAGCCCAAAAGAAAAGGGGTTAACTACCGTTAAGCAAACCTCCCTTGAGTTTCAGAACTGGGGAGACTTTTCAAACAGGATGCAGACCTAAGTCGTGTCCTTGTCACCTCTTCCTCTCTGGGAAGAAACTGAAGCCAAGGGGAGGCCACCTGAGCTCATGGTCAGGGTCCGGGCTGACCGGGGCAGAGCTCCCCGCACCCAGCCTTCACACACCCCTGGCACCCGTGCCCTCTGCCCCCCGGGGACTCCCTGTCCCCTCGCTCACCGCCACTGTTCTCAGCAGAGCGTTAGGGTTAGGTCACCTGGGCTGGGGTTGCGATGGCGGCTCTGCCATTCCCGGGCCCTCAGGGGAAGCACAGCCCCTCTCTGGGCCTTGCTGCCCCCTGTGAAAGCCGGGGGTGACCCTGCCCTGCAGCCGCCCCGCGGGTAGCTGCTAGAACTCAGGAAACGGGAGGAGCTTTTGTGCAAAGTTGCGGAGGACGGTTCCTCTCGCCCTAGGGCCAGCCTCTGGGGGTCCCCCACCGCCCTCCTCCACTGCCACCCCACCCCAGCCTCCACGTGCCGGGGGCTCCCTCGGGCATCCTGGTGGCGGGTCGGGGCGCGGCTCACGGCGGGTGTCTGTGTCTCCCCAGGTTTACAAGTCGTCCTGAAGTCGATCATGAAGGCGATGATCCCGCTGCTGCAGATCGGCCTCCTCCTGTTTTTCGCGATCCTTATTTTTGCAATCATAGGGTTAGAATTTTATATGGGAAAATTTCATACCACCTGCTTTGAAGAGGGGACAGGTAGGTCCGAGCCGCGGGACGTGGGTCTGCCAACCTCCTCCCTCGGGAAGGGGCTTGTCCTTCTCCTGGGGGTGGGAGACGTTCCTTCAGGGACCTGTGCTGCCCCCCAGGGACCGGAGGCTTCACGGGAATGACCCGGGCTACGACCCGGGGAGAAGGGGGTGGGGAGACACAGGGGAGGCAAGGTGTCCCAGGCTGCGCTGTGGACGGCTAACCCTGGGGGCAGCTGGACACACTCTGCTGGACATACGGGTCAGATTCCCCAGCCAGGGGACCAGGGGTCCTGTGACCCCAGCCTGTCCTGGGGGTGTCTCGTCATGAAGGCCCCTCCCGCCTGCCTTTGGGTACCTCGACTGTCCTGTAGAAGGTTAGTGCAGGACAGAGCCCCTGCGGTCTCCAGGGCGTGGCTCCACATAGCCCAGCGGGGACCCAGCCCCGGTCAGCGTCCGAGTCAGTCCAGGGTCGGGCGGGCAGGACGGGCAGGGGACCCTCCTGGGCCCCAGGACCAGGCTCCTGACTCCGCGAGACATTTCCAGTTCATCCCGGCCGCCAACTCCAGCCGCCCTGTGAGTGGAGTCAAATAAGAGGGGACACCCACCTTCCCGTGTCTGGACCCTGGCTGTGCCCACGTGGCAGGGGTCCACACTGGTCCTTGAGCCAGGGGAGCTGAGGCCCAGGAGGCAGACAGGACAAGGGGACCCCAACAGAGAGGCGGCCGCGGAAGAGGACCTGGAAGTGGCTGCCTCCCACCTTCCCACCCAGCAGCCCCCGGGATCAGCTGAGGGAGCTCCTGAGACCTGTCCCCTCGTCCCCCAGGGGAGGGAAGCGCAGGGGAGGCTCCTGGGGAGGGCCGGCCCTTTCTCCCCACCCCCCTCCTCTCCTGGGCTTGTGAAGCGGCTCGATCTGGAATGTCCTAATTATTTCTTTCCCCAATGAAGAAGGTGTTAATTGAGGCAGATCTATTTCTGCACCTGGCCTCATCATCCAGGTGGAAATAGAGAGGGAGGGAGGAGGAG